ATATGGTTTTTATTCTTCAATTTGTTAATATGGTGTATCACATTGAGTGATTTGCATATTTTTAAAGAATCTTTGCATCCCTGGGATAAATCCCACTTGATCATGGTGCATGATCCTTTTAATGTGTTGTTGGCTTCTGTTTGCTAGTATTTTTTGAGGATTTTTGCATCTATATTCATCAGTGATATTGGTCTGTAATTTTCTTTTTCTGTAGTATCTTTGTCTGGTTTTGGTATCAGGGTGATGGTGGCCTAATAGAATGAGTTTGGGAGTGTTCCTTCCTCTGTAATTTTTTGGAAGAGTTTGAGAAGGATGGGTGTTAGCTCATCTCTATATGTTTGATAGAATTCACCTGTGAAGTGATCGGGTCCTGGGCTTTTGTTTGTTGGAAGATTTTAAATCACAGTTTCAATTTCATTACTTGTGATTGGTCTGTTCATATTTTCTATTTCTTCCTGGTTCAGTCCTGGAAGGTTAAACCTTTATAAGAATTGTTCAGTTCTTCCAGGCTGTCCATTTTATTGGCATAGAATTGCTTGTAGTAGTCTCTTATGATGCTTTGTATTTCTGCGGTGTCTGTTGTAACTTCTCCTTTTTCATTTGTAATTTTATTGATTTGAGTCCTCTCCCTCTTTTCCTTGATGAGTCTGGCTAAAGGTTTATCAATTTTGTTTATCTTCTCAAAGAACCCAGTTTTGAATTTTATTGATCTTTGCAATTGTTTTCTTTGTTTCTATTTCATTTATTTCTGCTCTGATCTTTATGATTTCTTTCCTTCTACTAACTTTGGGTTTTGTTTGTTCTTCTTTCTCTAGTTCCTGTAGGTGTAAGGTTTGATTGTTTATTTGAGAATTTTCTTATTTCTTGAGGTAGGATTGTATTGCTATAAACTTCTCTCTTAGAACTGCTTTTGCTGCATCCCATAGGTTTTGGATCATCGTGTTTTCATTGTCACTTGTCTCTAGGTATTTTTTTATTTCCTCTTTGATTTCTCTTGGTTATTTAGTAACATATTGTTTAGCCTTCATGTGTCTTTGCTTTTTATGTTTTCTTCCCCTGTAATTGACTTCTAATCTCATATCATTTTGATTGGAAAGGATGCTTGATATGATTTCAATTTTCTTAAATTTACTGAGGCTTGATTTGTGACCCATGATGTGATCTATCCTGGAGAATTTTCCATGTGCACTTGAGTAGAAAGTGTAATCTGCTGTTTTCAGATGGAATGTCCTATAAACATCAATTAAGTCTATCTTGCCTGTTGTGTCTTTTAAAGCTTGAGTTTCCTTATTAATTTTCTGTCTGGATGATCTGTCCATTGGTGTAAGTAAGGTGTTGAAGCCCCCCACTATGATTGTGTTACTGTTGATTTCCTCTTTTATAGCTGTTAGCAGTTGCCTTATGTATTGAGGTGCTCCTATGTTGGGTGCATATATATTAATAATTGTTTTAACATCTTCTTGGATTGATCCCTTGACCACTGTGTAGTGTCCTTCCTTGTCTCTTGGAACATTCTTTATTTTAAAGTTTATTTGATCAGATATGAGTATTGCTCCTCCAGCTTTCTTTTGATTTCCATTTGCATGGAATATCTTTTTCCATCCCCTCACTTTCAGTCTGTATGTGTCCGTAGGTCTGAAGTGGGTCTCTTGTAGACAGCATATATATGGGTCTTGTTTTTGTATCCATGCAGTGAGTCTATGTCTTTTGGTTGGAGCATTTAATCCATTCACATTTAAGGTAATTATCAATATGTATGTTCCTATTACCATTTTCTTAACTGTTTTGTGTATGTTTTTGTACGTCCTTTTCTTCTCTTGTGTTTTCCACTTAGAGCAGTTCCTTTAACATTTGTTGTAGAGCTGGTTTGGTGGTGGTTAGCTTTGGCTTGTCTGTAAAGGTTTTGATTTCTCCATTGAATCTGAATGAGATCCTTGCTGGGTAGAGTAATCTTCGTTGTAGCTTCTTCCCTTTTATCTCTTTAAATATATTGTGCCACTCCCTTCTGGTTTGTAGAGTTTCTGCTGTTAACCTTATGGGAGTTCCCTTGTATGTTACTTGAAATTTTTCCCTTGCTGCTTTTAATAATTTTTCTTTGTCTTTATTTTTTGTCAAATTGATTACTATGTGTCTCAGCATATTTCTCCTTGGGTTTATCCTGCCTGAGACTCTGTGCTTCCTGGACTTGTGTGGCTATTTCCTTTCCCATGTTAGGGAAGTTTTTGACTATAATCTCTTCAAATATTTTCTCGGTTTCTTTCTCTCTCTATTCTCCTTCTGGAACCCCTATAATGCAAATGTTTGTGCATCTAATGTTGTCCCAGAGGTCTCTTAGGCGGTCTTCATTTCTTTTCATTCTTTTTTCTTTATTCTGTTCTGTGGCAGTAAATTCCACCATTCTGTCTTCCAGGTCACTTATCTGTTCTTCTGCCTCAGTTATTCTGCTATTGATTCCTTCTATTATATTTTTCATTTCAATTATTGTATTGTTCATTTCTTTTCGTCTGTTCTTGAATTCTTCTAGGTGTTTTTTCTTTCATTCTTCTAGGTCTTTGTTAAACATTTCTTCCTTCTTCTTGATCTTTGCCTCCATTCTCTTTCTGAGGTTCTGGATCATCTTCACTATCATTATTCTCAATTCTTTTTCTGGAAGGTTGCCTATCTCCACTTCATTTAGTTGTTTTTCTGGGGTTTTATCTTGTTCCTTCATGTGGTACATAGTCCTCTGCCTTTTCATTTTGTCTATCTTTCTGTGAATGTGGTTTTCGTTCCACAGCCTGCACAATTGTAGTTCTTCTTGCTTCTGCTGTCTGCCTTCTGGTGGATGAGGCTATCTAAGAGGCTTCTGCAAGTTTTCTGATGGGAGGGACTGGTGGTGGGTAGAGCTGACTGTTGCTCTGGTGGGCGGAGCTCAGTAAAACTTTGATCCTCTTGACCGCTGATGGGTGGGGCTGGGTTTTGGTTATTTGGCCTGAGGCAACCCAACACTGAAGCCTACTGGGCTCTTTGTTGGGGCTAATGGTGGACTCTGGGAGGGCTCACGCCAAGGAGTACTTCCCAGAACTTCTGCTGCCAGTGTCCTTGTCCCCACGGTGAGCCACAGCCACCCCCCACCTCTGCAGGAGACCCTCTAGCACTAGGTTTGATTCAGGCTCCCCTAGGGTCACTGCTCCTTCTCCTGGGTCCCATTACGCACACTACTTTGTGTGTGCCCTCCAAGAGTGGAGTTTCTGTTTCCCCCAGTCCTGTCAAAGTCCTGCAATCAAATACCGCTAGCCTTCAAAGTCTGATTCTCTGGGAATTGCTCCTCCTGTTGCCAGACCCCAGGGTTGGGAAGCCTGACATGGGGCTCAGAACCTCCAGTGGTGGACTTTTGTGGTATAATTGTTCTCCAGTTTGTGTGTTACCCACCCAGCAGTTATGGGATTTGATTTTATTGTGATTGCTCCCCTCCTACCATCTCATTGCAGCTTCTCCTTTGTCTTTGGATGTGAGGTATCTTTTTTGGTGAGTTCCAGTGTCTTCCTGTTGATGATTGTTCAGCAGTTAGTTGTGATTCCAGTGCTCTCACAAGAGGGAGTGAGTGCACGTCCTTCTGCTCCACCATCTTGAACCAATCTCCATGCTTCTCCATCCAACACGGGAGCTGTGGGTGGAGTTTCTATCCCAGCTCACAGCATGAAAGCCTTGGTCCATCTGTGTCATGCAAAGTCAAACCTCTCTTGAAGTGATTTGTTTATAGTGTCATTTGATGGAGTGGAATGTTCTGTAACTCATTCGAACTATTACAGAAGCTTTGCTAAAAGGTCACCACTGCTTTTTAGTGTTTCCCAATCTGGGCACCATCTGGAAGCTTGATAAAGATAAGGTTTTCCCCTGGCTTCTTCCATACCAACTAGATCCAATTAGCAAAGTGTTACTTTTGCAGAGAAATTTGTGTTCACGTTAGGAGAGAGAGAGACAGACAGGCAGACATACAGAGACAGACAGAGAGATAAAGAGAGACAGAGACAACTCAAATAAATTCCAGTTAGTTGCCCAATAGTGTGCAAGCCCACTTAGCACCAAATTGGAGTGCTTATGCCAGAGGACAGTAGTATTTAATAAGCCTGAATGGGGAAGGGGGTCAGAATTGAAAAGTGGAATAGCATTTACTTTTAAATGTCATTTTTGAATCAATATGTTCTTCAAGTGTAGTCTTGAGAGGCAACTCTAAAGGAACTTGAATTTCCCCCATGTACTCCAAATTTAATAGGAAAATGACCACTCAGTCATTAAAGTAGTAAAAGCGATGCTAAACATTCAGTCTGCATGGCACCAACAACATTCAAGTTGTTATAACTTTACAGTTTTAGTCTAGGCCTATCATTGGCTTGCTTGCTTTCTGCCCTCCTCCTGATGAAACAAAAGTCTCGAATTTTCCAAACCTCAAAACTCAGCTGTAAAACTGTAGGAGACCAGCAAGCGGAAAAAGAAAATTTCCTTTAAAGATGTTTGGTCGCCGCTGGCCAGGCCTGCACTCTCCCTTGAAACATTAACTATGGCTTTTGACACTTGTCCTTGGAAAAAGTCCAAATGTGGCAAATGGTAGAGGCAACATTTCTTTACCCTCCTGCCTGGAACTCCCCGTGATACGGATGAGTTCTAGCTGGTGTTTCATGGGTAACAAGGAGTCCACCTACAGCCCACTACCCTTGCCCCCATCTGCAGATGAAATTAGCAAACACATAATAAGATCTACTGAACTAAAAAATCAAAACCCTCTTATTTGGTTGGAACTCCTGAAAGGGTCTGGACCAAAGAGGCTGCACAATAGCAACTAAAATACAGGCTCTTTGCTGTTAAAACTATTCTCAGAAGTGTGTGTGTGTATTTGCAGCAGGATACTTAGGGGAAGAGAAAACTAAACTCTGGAACGATAGTTTTGTCTCTGCAGAGACATTAAAAGCACAACAATCGTGTCTCCCTTGGCTCAATGAAATTGGTTTGGAAACCAAAACTGTCCTTAGAAAGGAGAAGAAATCTATTCATATTTCTTTGGAGGCAAGGAGGGAGGTCTTTCTGGCAAAGTCTTTAGGCTCCATTCAGGTCCAGGAAACTCAATCCTCAAGTTCAAAGCTCGTCTCGTCGTAGAGTTCAGGGCGTGCTGACTTCCTGTTCCGGGAATATTTCACATGCAGGAGGTCACCCATCTCATCCAGGGCTTCCAAAACCTGCAAAGAGATTCCTTCCATCAGTTCTCTTTAAACCACCAAGTGGCCTTGCTCTCTGGGGGGCTCACAGAGAACCACACTCTTCTTTTGCCAGCTTATTCGATTTTAAAGAAAAGGAGAAAGATCCAAATCATTAAGCTGTGGTTCATAAGTCAGCCCTAGAGGAATGTTAGAGGCTAATGCATTTTATTTTCATATTCTTTAATAGTCTAACTCCACATTACGAATCTTTAGTTTATTTTGGGGGTGAGAGAAGAGGAATAAAATCATCTGATCCATGCTTACCCTTGAAGGATTTATTTTAAAGTTTAATGACATATATAAACTTGTGGAAGAAAAAGAAAACTTCGCAGATTACATTTGTGTTAATTCTTCATGACACAGCAAAGCAACCTGGCCAGGAAGAAAACGGAACATTATGGGAGCTAATTAGGTTCCTCCTCTCTCTCCCATTCTTCTGCTGCCCCCCTCCTCCCACCCTCAACTTTTAAATACTCATCTCTATGCTCCATAGAATAATAGAATTTAAAACCACAAGACACCAAGAACTCATCTGTTTCAATTCTCTCAATCCAGGCAGGTAAATGTATCCCCAAGTTTACAAATGAAACAACTGAGATCCAGAATATACAAAATGTAAGGTTTTCCTTCCAGTCTATCACTAATCCTACTGAATTGGCCATGCCTTTTTAACCTTTTGGGCCTGTTTTTCTCAACCAGTCAAAAGAAAAGGGAAATGATATTAGAGTCCAATGTTTTGAAAAAGGTAAAGTGAGAATCGTTACCATCAGAATGAATGACTCATGGGGCTTATGGATTTTCTCCGTTGGGAAATCTTTCAAACTGACATTAGTTAAGATCCCTACCAAGATGTAAAGAATAGTTTATTTCTGGGTGGTAGGATTATGGGTAATTAAAATTTTCTTTTTACTTCAATTTATTTTCTTAATTTTTATACCAAATATAAGCCCTAGGAAAAAGTATCAGGCTTTACATTTTAAGTGGCATCAATCTGGGGTAGTTTCTGTTGCTTTTCCTGAAGGTGGGGGATGGAGTAGCCCTGTGGCTTTGAAAGTGAAGGACCCACACACCTGGGGGAGAAGTACCACAATTCATGAAGGATGTGGGAGGAAAACATAGGATTTTGATTCATTTTAATCTCAACCTTTTAAAAAATTTTAAAAAAAATTTTAATACAATTTTAAAGGTTACTTTCCATTTACAGTTATTACAATGTATCAGCTATATTCCCTGTGTTGTGTACAATACATCCTTGAGCCTATCTTATACCCAATAGTTTGTGCCTCTTGCTGCCCAACCCTTATGTTACCCCTCCCACTCTCCCCACTGGTAACAAGTAGTTTGCTCTCTATGTCTGTGTCTGCTTCGTTTTTATTATATTAACTAGTTTGTTGTATTTTTTATATTCTACACATAAGCAATGTCATACAGTACTTGTCTTTCTCTGTCTGACTTATTTTACTTGGCATAATGCCCTCCAAGTCCATCCATGTTGCTGCAAATGGCAAAATTTCATTCTTTTTTATGGTTGAGTTATATTCCATTGAAAATACATACCACATCTTCTTTACCCATTCATCTATTGATGGACACTTAAGTTGCTTCCATATCTTGGCTATTGTAAGTAACACTGCTATGAACATTGGGGTGCATGTATCTTTTTGAACTAGTGTTTTTGGTTTTTTCATATATATACCCAGGAATGGAATTGCTGGATCATATGGCAGTTCTATTTTTAGTTTTTTGAGAAACCTCCATACTGTTTTCCACAGTGGCTGCACCAATATACATTCCCACCCACAGTGTACGAGGGTTCCCTTTTCTCCACATCCTTGCCAACATTTGTAATTTGTGTTCTTTTTGATGATAGCCATTCTGACAGGGGTGAGGTGGTATCTCAACCTTTTTAACTTCTTTTTTTGTGTCTGTTATAAAATGTACATAATATATTGGTAATGCATGTATTATTTCTAAATGGATTTATGTTGAGGCCCGCTAATCAACTACCTGAAACACACCAGTACTCAAACAAAGTCGGCTTTATTCAGCTTGCTGCAGCAGGGAATATGCACTCCAGAAGGACCATCTTCGTAACAGGGAGTTGGGAAGGGCTACGTATCACATCTGGACTTGTGCACGAGATGATTCTAAGGAAGCAGGGGCCAGTTCTGGCTTGGATGCTGTCGAGAAGCTGGAGCAGCTCAGTGTTGTTTATACATAGACTTATCTAGAAGGCGGGAGGATTATAGCAAGGCTAGAGCTGTCCTTGGTAACGGAGCAGCTGCCACTCATGTTAGAAGAGGGACCTTTTAAGTCATTTTCTGTTTGTAAAGTGTCCTCCTTTCTGTCTTGTTCCAAACATGGTCACTGAATAGACTTCTCTAATATTGTATATTTTCTGCGACTGTCATTTATGTTCAGTTGCTACCTTAATGCCCTGACTGTTCAAGGGGTCATTTTTCACTTCTCTTAGAGTAAGAAACTTGCTCAAAATTTTGTATTGATTTGACGATCTCAAAAGTTTAGAGGCATTTGTCTAGATGAGTTTTCCGTGCTCCTTCCAAACCAAGTATTCCGCAGGAATTAACTCATGAAAACAATCACAAGGTCTGATATCTATTGAACTGGGTATTCGTGAGTGCCTCCATGCCGTTTGGATCAGAAAAAAGATGCAAATTGACCCAAGCTGTGCATCCCCTCCTGCCGTCTCTGGAGCGTGCTTCTGAGCACATCCTCTTCTCCCCATGCCTGCAGTGCCCCTCTCTTCGCTCCCTTTTCCCTTGATGTGTAAACATGCTCAAGTCTTCCCCCACTTTCAAGGGCTTTTTCTAAACCTATTCTTTTTGCCTTTACACACTTCTCAAAAGACTTGCCTACCATTTCTTACAACCCACTCATTACATTTAGAAGAAACAATTTGTTAAAATTAATATTCTCTGAAATATACTCATTTTAGAGAATCTGGACAATATATAGAACAAAAACAGCAAAGTTCTCCCATCATCTCAAAATCTAGAGTTAGCTCAGTTATTAACATGTTATCTAATAAATTGTTATTGTGTACCTACTATGTTCTATACATTGGTTTAAGTCCTAGAATATAATGGTGATGCAGAAAGATATGGACCCGTGTGAGTGTCTGTGTGTAATTCGAGCTCAAAGTATTCCTTCAATTTTTTAATTCTTTGTATTCTTGTTTCTGTTCCCTGCACTCCCCTAAACCTCTCTTTTCTGAGCAACAGCAAGGTCCTACTAACTGCTAAGCCAATGGTTTCTTCTCATCTCTCACCCCACTTGGATATTCTGCTGTTTTGTAGAGACATTTTTAAAAATTAATCTTTATTGGAGTATAGTTGATTTACAATGTTATGTTTGTTTCAGGTGTACAGCAAAGTGAATCAGTTATACATGTACATATATCCACTCTTTTTTAGATTCTATTCTCATATAGGTCGTACAGAGTATTGAATAAAGTTCCCTGTCCTATACAGTAGGTTCTTATTAGTTATATATTTTATACATAGTAGTGTGTATATGTCTATCCCAATATCCCAATTTATCCCTCCCCCCACTTTCCCCTTTGGTAACCATAACTTTGTTTTCTACATCTGTGACTCTATTTCTGTTTTGTAAATAGGTTCATCAATAGAATATTACTTAGCCATAAAAAAGAACAAAATAATGCCATCTGCAGTGACGTGGATGGACCTAGAGATTGTCATACTGAGTGAAGTAAGTCAGACAAGAAAGACAAATATCATATGATATCGCTTACACGTAGAATCTAAAAAAATCGCAGGGACATTTGATCCTCCCCGTCCTTGAAGCTTTTTCCTTTTTACTGTGTTGAGCACTACACTGGCTTATGACTTTTCCAATTGATATAGCTCCATCTAAGCCCAGTTCCTCGTCTGTGATTCCTATATCTAACCAGGGATGTAGGGGGAGTCTGCGCTTGGCCCGTTCTCTTATATTTGGACAATTATATTTTCTACCATTGACTTTAATGATCCCTTAGTTCCTCAGATTACAGCAGCTCCAGCCTTGCATACTCTCCTAAGCTCCAGAATTGGATTTTATTTTCTTTAAATTTTATTGAAGTATAAATGACTCAGTTACACCTCCCCCACACACACACACATTCTTTTTCATATTCTTTTCCATTATGGTTTGTCACAGGATATCGAATATAGTTCCCTGTGCTATACAATAGGACCTTGATGCTTATCCATCCTATATATAATAGTTTGCTTTTTCACAGCTGGCCCATAGATTTGTAATCCCAACATGTCTAGAAGTGAGCTCGTTTTATTCCCCCAGTCCTGTTGGTGTTATGCTGTTCCTTGCCATATACCTTATCTCATATACGTGCTTAGTTTTGCCGTTCTTTATTTGCTAGAGGGCTAGAGACCTCGGATTATTTGTGATTCCCTCACCCCATATGTGCCCTGCATCCAATATTTGTCAAGTCTTGGCAGCTTCATGCATGCATAACGTCTATTCCTAGATCCATTTCTTTTGTTTCCGTTGCCCTTGACCTTGTCGTCTCTTGTTTTGTTCAAATAGCTCCATAATAACCCACTCCACCTTCATGCAGTTGTCTATATTTCTTTTTCGAGATGAATTTATTCTGTCTGATATTATTATGAAGTGCTTCTTTATAGTATGTTCTCTTAGACTTTTTGCCCCAGGGTTTTGCATAGAGCAGACACCTGATAGTGTTTGCTAAACTGCATTGATTTTATAAGACAGTTTCATCAACCCTAAACTGACTGACCTGGCTTGGTTCTCTGATATTATTCATTCACACAGAGATAGAAATCCAAGGACAATGAAATGTGGTTTTGAAATCCTTTACACCTCATGTAGGATGAGCTTATATGACAGATCTGTCTTTGTTGTTGGTTTTCCAACATGTGGCTTATTTGGGTCATATTTTCTTGTGATGGACGTGGTGGCTGTGAGCAGTGCCAGGATGCAGGCAGTCACTGCTGAAATAGCACATGAGATCAGCGTCTGCCTTTAAGAACAAGCAAAGAGCAGGATGTCTGGCTACTCAGTGGGTCTTTGCTATGAAACCAAAACACCGACTTGACTCAAGTCTTCACTGAGCTGACTTCCTTTTCTATCTGCTGAGTTGATCACATTGTTGGGCATTGTCAGGATACCCTTATTTTTTATTTTTATTTTTTAGCAGTGAGTGTTATTAGTGTTGTTTTCTTAAACCATCCAAGAGAAACCCAGGGAAACCCAAGCAAGCTCAGTAAAAGAACGTGCTCGGAATCCGAGGACCCCATCCTGTCGCTTCTGCTGGGCTGCAGAGTACTTACTGCGTCTAACATCTCCCGCGTATGTGCTGCTGAAACACAGAACCGAGCCCGGGCTTCTGCAAGGGGAGTAGCTGGAAATCCAACGACCACCACGCCGATTTTTCTCTTTAATAGATGCCTTGCAAAAGCCCTAAGGGAAATGTTAAAAAGGAGGTTAACTGAGAGATGACAAAATTACACTGCAAAAAGAAAAAAAAAGGAATGTGGCTAATTGACTTTTTTTTTTTAAATTTATATTTATTTTGGCTGCACTGGGTCTTAGTTGTGACATGCGGAATCTATTGGGTTGGCCAAAGAGTTCTTTAGGGTTTTTTCCATAAGATGTAACGGAGAAACGTGAACGAATTTTTTTGCCAACCCAATAATTCCTCGACCAGGGCTGAACCCGGGCCCCCTGCATTGGGAGCACAGAGTCTTACCCACTGGACCAACAGGGAAGTCCCTACTTTTTTTTTTTTTTT